GTCTAGCTAATAGTAAGTTATTTGGGCAGGAGGTAAGTCAACATTTAACTGAATGTTAGATCAACACAAATCATGATAGCATATTTTGTTATAATAGCACCCTACCATAGGGGTGTGTGCTAGCTCAGTTACAGTAAAGGCTTTCTTTTTTCACCAACCTCCAGAACGAATTTACTATTTTATAAAATACCAAATGTGTGCAGGTTATGGAAGTTTAAAAAATAGCATACTACCTCACAGCCTCCTTTGTCAGACCAAGCATTAGACAGATGATCTCTGCTTAACAAAGAGAAAAATAGATACTTACAGGAAGAAAAAATCAAGGTTATTAAACACTGAATTACAAGCGCTGTGAGAGGTTTTCAACCAAGATAGGCAAGAGGATTAAACATCGCATATTAGAAGCATGAAATAGTTGCAGTCACTGAGGGAAATGAAGTAGAAAGTGTGCAAAATATCTGACCAGACTTGGGAAAACCAAGTTGTACTGGGTGTTTTGGGGGAGACTGAGTTCATACGTTTCAGTAGTTTTAAAAATAAGTCCTGCTTTTAAAGAGAGCTTCTATATAGCTCCATGATGTGAAATAAAATTGTATTTAAACTGTACATTTGAGAACCTAGTTGATCCCCCAAGGCTTAAAGTGATATCTTGTTGTTCTCTGCAAACTTGTTGAATTCAGTATATTCAATAATATAGTTCTTGAAGCATAATCTTTTATTCTTCCCTTGATCTTAGCTTGCTTTTCTATACAGTGTACAATTTGACAGAAGAGAAGAAATGTGTTCTAAAAATAGTCATTAAGAAGTGCAGTAAGAGACAGTAATTCCTTTAGCTTTATAAGCAGATCAAGGTAATACATCTGCTCTGCCCAAGAAGTTTGTTTATGCACAGGACGCTCTTGAAGAAAATGGCTACCTTGCTTTTGTAGTCGGGAGGGCAAACTACAGTATATCTGACAAAGGTTAGTATGTAGCATTCACTTTTTATATGGTATGTTCTTGCTATTGGCTGCCTTTCTTAACTGTCTAGTATTGGAATTCATTTATATTCCAAGTCTCTCTTTGGAGTGTGCTATGATTTAACCTTTACACTGAGAGGTTAATTTTTTAAGGATAATCTTATGATAATGGAATAATGACAATACCTTGAAAACTTGCATAAAATGCTATTTTAAACTGATCAGTTAGGATCCAGAGAAACATTAGTCAATTCAGGCCTTTGACTTCTGGAGACCTATATTCCAAATCTGGTGGATGACCAGAGACTAAATTCACTCTGTTCATGATGTTCCTCCAGATCCAGACCCCATTGACTGCCCAAAGCTGCTGAAAATGGGAAAAAAAAAGGGGGGGGGCTAAAACTTTAGTTTTCTCTTATGTCAAGGATTCTTAGTACTGGCATTATAAAGGCACAGAAGAATATATGAGACAATTTGCCTTCTAGCAAAATTGGTGAAAGAGAGAAGGGTGAAGGAAATACTAAATGGATAAAAGAAGGCAAATAGGGATTTATTATTTACTTTCTCTCTTATAATACAAGAAATAGGGGTCACAAGATGCAACTAGTAGGTAGTAAATTTAAAAATTAACAAAAGGAAGTTCTTTTTCACATAGTGCGTATTAAAAGTGTGAAACTCATTGCCACCAGATGTTGTGGAAGCTGACAGTTTAGCCAGATTCAAAAAGGGATTGGCAGGCTTAGGCAGGAAAGAGGCATCAATAACTACTGAGCATGAGAGATGGAGATACAGCCTTTAAATTAAAGCTTGTACCTTTAAATGCTGGAGGCTGGAAGTAAGAAGAGCAGTGGGGGAAAAAAATGCTGGTCGTGGGCAACTGGTGCCTCCCAGGTCTGGGAAGGCACCAGATTGCCGCCAGGGGTGGGGTGGGGGAGGTGGTCCCCTATCAGCCAATTGCCGACTTGTGGGGGGGTGTCCCCCAGCAGCCAATCGCTGAACCAGTGGCAAAACCAGAAGTATGCTTCTGGTTTCGTGGCTGGCACTTCCAGGGGGTGCACATGCACCTGCGTGCACCCCGTACACATTGCCACTGATCCTGATCATACCCAGTTCACTCTCCCTTTCAGTATCTACTCTCTGCCACTATGACACGGATCCTGGGCAAAATGGAACTATGGTCTGACCCAGTAAATGCCAATAATGATGTTCTTATTAAATGAGGTGGAGAGTGTTCCCACTCTAAATTTTACTTATTACATTTTAAATTAATGTTTGGTTTGACACAATAATTTGGTGTTATATTAATGGGTGCAGAAAAGACTGGTGTGATTCACATTACTGTAGAAATTCCTAATGTTTTCATGAGCGCTGTTTTCAGGTTTCACACTATGGCCTTTAAAACAAAACAAAAAAAATGCATACTTGGCTGTTAATTATTACATCATTTTACTTCAGCTTTTGTGTTCTGTATTTTTCCCACGGCAAGTTCCCACAGGCGGTGGCACTGTTGGCGGTGGCAAGCAGGGGAGCTCCCACAGGTGGCTGTGGCACTGTTGGTGGTGCAGCAAGTGCTGACCAGATGTTGGCCACTACCCACAGACGCTGCCAGCAGTGGCCAGTGGCGATCACGAACCGCCCGCAGATGCTACCAGCGCCGAGGGGTGGGAATGGCAAGCAGCGACCACCCGCAGGCGTTGCCGGCCGTGTTGGCAGCACCTTTTCACAGGGGGTGCACGTGCACCCGTGTGCACCCCCTATGCATCACCAGTGCCTGCAGCTATCTTCTGGCCCCAGGAGTTTTTCCTGTACCCTGGAGCTATAAAGACTGTGGCAGCCATGATCCTCAGGGTCTAGGGGTTTCACACCCCCCCCGACCATGAGCTTTGGGGTTCATGCAGCCCCAGGATCCTAGGGATCATAGCTACTGGGATCCATAGGGCTTGGGGAGTTTTCACTGGGCATGGCGTATCCCTGCTGCCATGTGCAAATTAAAGCTCAACAGCAACCAGGTATAAAGTTAGTACACATTTTCGAGGCCTAACTTAGCTTGTTGGAGCTTTTTATTGTGTGATAACTACTTTACACATGTAGTTGGTCTCCAGGTAACTGTGCAATACCTGTAACATGTAGTGGGGCCCTAACAGTGACTGCTATCCATAAAATTTTTGTCATTAAAATAAATTTGAATGAAAAACTATTATAAAAATGTTGAGGGGGAAAGTTCTGACTGACGACATTTTCTATGCAAATGAAAAATGAGATTGACACTGTTTTGGTTTATGTGCTCTACTTCATAGCTTTTCCATTTTAAAGGGAAAGCTATAAGCTAGTTTGTTTGATTTTGCAAGTGTTCTGGAAGCTAATAGAAAAATGTCTCAAATCTTCAGCAAAATGAAACTATTTTCAAAGTGTCTGGTTAGTATTCAGAGTTGAGTGCGGAACTTAACTAGTGCACCAAAGCTAAGAAGTGGTTTTGAGCCCATTTTTATTTCTTAATTCTTGCAATGAAAAAAACCTGAGAACTAACTATGAAACTAATCCTACAACTGCTTAAATACCGGAGTAACTTGGCATGCATGGAAGGCACTGGGACTCCTTAGATAGTCTTTGCAGAATCTGTCTCCGTGATGATGAAAAGTTAATGAGATTTTTCCAAAGCTTTTGTATTTGAATAGTTTATGTTGTTAACAGAGGGAGAGAATGCCAGTTTGTTTTAAAATGACAGTTATAAGTATCAGTTTACAAGAATACAGTTTGTATAAACTCTTAACATTTTGGTTATATAAAAAAAAAAAAAATCTATACATCCAGAGAGTCATGTTTTGAAAAAAAGGTGGATTATAGCACCTGAACACAAGGCTTTCTTGTTTGAGAGGCTGTGGAATAAGATGGTGAGGATTCCCTAAGGATTTACATGTGATGGCTTTACTGCACTGTGGCATTTGCAATGCACATTTGAGTCCTTAGATACTCCTAACAAGCAAATTATCCCCTTCATCTCCTGCAGCAAAAAGACATTATAGTTTAGTCGCATCCAGAATTATTCCAAATTATGAATGTATTCCCCAAACTATAGATGCTTTATGGCAAACATTTTCTATATGCTTTAAAACATGGTTAAGCATGAAAGTGCATAAGAACACTACAAAATCTTTTACTTGAAACCAGGGCTGGCCCACCTGTGGCACTGGTGCCGTAAGTGGTATGGGCAGTTTCTGTGTGGGACATATGACATATTGGGGATGGGACTGCCAGCACATTGCCAGATAGGGTTGGGAGCAGAAATCAGAGCAGCAGATAAAGGGAGCACAGAGCAGGAAGCAGAGCAGCAGATGGAACAGGAAAAAAGAATCTGAGACGGCTAATTTGTGGCACACCTGCCAAAACTGTTGGCTCCCATTGCTTAAACCCATAGGTGTCCACAGTTTGCCCAACTGTGAACTACGTTGGTAATTTACTAGCACTCTGTGGTTGTAAACTAAGAATATCTGGGTCTAGGTAATACTGTTTTTGTGAGGCCATCTTCCTGTCAAGTATGGTTTGATCATAAAAACCTTTCCCATTATTGGCTGATAATGAAATGTCTGGGTGTTTGGGGCTTTTGTATCAAGAGAGCACTTTGGATAGAGTGTAGGGCATTTTTAAAATGTTTCCTAGGAAGAATATACATAACTTTTAAAGTTAATTGTAGCCTTGGAACATAGATAACCTACAGGCTGCCCACTGGGAACCAAAGTTTTCTATAATATTCTGTTCTGTTTAAATTTGGGTCAACCTAGAAACATTTAATTTAAAACCACTTCTAATATTCTGGTTGCTGAGTAATCCAAACTGTAAGTTATGTCCATCTGAAACTGCAAGCATAAACAAAAAAAATACTTAAATCCAAAAGCTCATTCCTCTTTCTTTATTCAGTTTTCTTTTAAATAAAAAATATCATCAGTAATTCCTGTATGATTGTTCTTTGCTTCCTCGTTTGCAGTCTGGGAAATACAGCTAGCCTGAATGCTCCATTCAGAGAAATGGGGAGAATCTCCTAGAATGAAGAAGATGGAGATGCCAGCAGTTGGCAGCCAGGAAAATGGTACTACACCCAGCTTCCCTGCATTGCTTTTCTTATTTTTTTGCTTTCTTATTTTTTTTTATCAGAGGGAGCACATGCACAATTTATTTTTGTAATTTAACCTTCTCTGCTTTCTCTCCCAATCCTTAAGGCACTAAATAAAACATTTTAATAGATAATGGGAATAAATTCCTTTCTAAGACGATATGACTTTTTGTATGGGATGTGCTTGCAGATATTATGTTGGATATAAAGTGGGGAAGAAAAAATATTTTTCCAATCACTTGATTTTTCTGTCTGTTTTAGGACAGTTTTCGAGCTTTTTTGGCCACATATGCATTTACCTGCATAATATAGCTGCTCATATCCCTTACATTTGACATTTCTCTACATGTTTGATCCTTGCTAAAAGTGTTGACTATCAGTGTGTGGAAATGTCATTACTCACCATGCATTGACCAATCAGAAGCTCCACTGTTGTTAAAATTTAGGCACATACCCCTTTGCAAAGTGCCATGTTCCCCCCAGGGTACATGTACCCCAATTTGAAAACACTGTTTTAGGATAAGAGAGCCGATCTAACATATTCAAATTGGAAAAAGGAAGATAGGAAAAATCAAATTTACTTAAGCATTTGGACACCTAAAATGCAACTAGTTACCTGGTAAGGTTTATCAAAGTGCCTAAATGAATTAGATACCTAATTTCTAATGATTTCCTTCAGAAGTTAAGTACTGTGCCTGGTTAGGAATTTTGGTAAATATAAGTAAGCAAATGGCAGCAGGTCTAGCAGCCTAAATACCTTTGTAATCAAGCCCCTAATACCCAGTATAGTAGAAGTTTGCATGTCATAATTTACTGAACAGAGCAGCAAAAATTAGAAGTGATCCATTACCACTTTTGTGTTGGATCAGTAGATTTGATGCACCTGTATGGGACATTCTAATTTGCATGTGTTCCATTATGCCCTACATCAGGGATGTTAAAGATATGGTCCATGAAGTCTTAGGATCCAACCTGTGGGTCTTGGACCAACTCTGTGCGCCTCATGTCACACATTGACCACAGATCAGCATGCAGAGCCAGTCTGGTGTGTGCTGCATGCAATGCTTATACCAGACTGGCCCTCTGGGGCTGAATTAGGCTAGCCCTGTATAGTAGCTCCAATCACTGGCACCAGTGCACAGGGCCAGTTCACCATAGCCACAGTTGCCATGCACCACAGTTGCCACAATCCTGGATCCACCCATGTCTAGCTCCTATTTGGTGGGAGTGGAAATTTAAGCAAGTTATGTTCTTGGACATCTGGGCCGATGCATGAGTTTGGGCAATTTTCTGTTTGTGCTCAACTGTATTGCACTTTTCTGTTTGTTGGGATCACGTTTCTCTTTTGTTCCGACTAGTGCTACAAGAATTGAATCTCTTCTACAAGCGAGATATCAATGGAGTTGGAGTATTATATGACCTGCTTAGATCTCACTGGCTGCAGGCTCTCCTAAAGGTAAAAGCAGTCTTCAGCTACAAAGCCACAGTCTGTGTTAGGAAGCAATAAATTGGTATCTGCCTCGCTTTACTACATGGCATCAAAATCTCCACCTTAGCCTGCTAGCCCTTAGAACTACTGTGGTTAAAGTTTTGCCACTTGTACCTAGTGATGCACAAATTTTTGGCTAGTGTCATATCCAGCTGCCTCTGTGGGGCAGAGCTGTACTGCTACCCAGCACGTCCACAGGTGGTGGATAGTGTAATGACCTTCAGGGAAGTCTAGCTGTGAAATAAGCAAGGGTAACTCTCTGATGAATAAGCAGTTGCAGACCAAGCAGTGGCAGTACCACCAGGACATGGTGAAGACAGCAGATGGCAATACTTTCTTTCCAGAAAAGCCACATATTCTTTGATGGTGCTGTGACATGGCAAGTACAGGTTACTGCTATAATAAGTCTGTCCAGCCCCTAGCCATGGGTCTGCAAGTCCTCAATGGCTGCGAAGGTGGACGAAGGCTGCAGTGGGACAAGATCCCCAGTTGTCTCATTCTGCTTGCCATTGGATCAAGGTCCCGTTCTGTCAAGAGCCATGTGGAAACTGATGTGCAGAAGCTTCTCTATGATAAAACAAATCACACACAGGTGTCTTCCATGAAAACAGCTTTTCCATCATATTTCTCAAGCCCTTTGGTGACCAGCTAATGGCAATGGAAGCAGAATTGTGAAGTCTGGAAGCTCCTATTCATGAACTAGTATTAAAGAAGTTACAAGAAGGTTATCTAACACTTGGATGAGACAGGAGTGCAATTCAGCAGCTGTAACTGTGACTGAGCAGCCCTCTTCAGGATCCACTCTGCTCATCCTACATGGGGAGCAGGCTAGAAAAGATGTCCTAAACATAGCCTGTCTAATACAGTATTCTGTATTTCTTCCTGACTGGATAACCATGTGGGATCACCTGTGGCTGAAATACCAACAATGATGCACCATCATTTTTGGGACCCAGGATATCAGAATCCTCATGGACAACCCTAATAATGAATGCCCAGAGAACTGCACTGCAATTGTGGCCTGAGAACTCGGACAACACAACATCGATGTAACTGCATTGTGCAAGACCTGGCAAGTGGGTAATGGGCAGCTCAAAGAATGTGGAGGCAGCTGTACCTTCTTCTGGAATGAGAATCGTGTCTTCACGAAGTTGGTTTTGCCATTAATAATGAACTCATAAACCAACTCAATGAGTGCCCTATCAGAATTAAAGAGTGCCCCATGACTCTTCATCTTAAACTGTCAGAGAGTCAATATACCATTGTCATCAGTGTATATGCCCTGATTCTTGATGCTGCCAGTGAAACCAAGAAGGAATTGTATGCTAACTTTGACCAAGTTCTTTCTGACATCCCAGAGACAGACAGACAGAGAGAGAGAGAGAGGCTTATTCTTCTCAGTGATTTCAGTGCCAGAGTCTGAAGGGACTGTAACCTCTAACTAACTTGAACCATCAGCAAGGAGGGAGTAGGAATGGTCAACTCCAGTGGCATCCTCCTCTTGACCAAATGCATGGAACATGGACTCACCATCACTAATACCCTGTTTTGCCAGAAAAACAGGCGCAAGACATCATGGCAATCATCTAAGCTTTGGCACCTGATTGACTATGTCATTGTCTGTACCCAGGATCGCAAAAATGTCCACATGACCTGAGCTATGCTGAGTTGATGATTGCTGGACTGATCACTGACTCATTCACTTGGTTATGTCACTCAAACTGGCTCCCAAACGATGGCTGTAGCAGAAGTAATGCTGACCGAAGATCAATGTTGAAGGACTCAAGGACCCAAGCAAGCAAAATCTCCTTCAACCAGTACCTCAATAGAAAACCTGGTGAAGTCCAATCAACAACAATGGAAGAATTTCATTAGTGTGTGGTGTGCCCTTAAGGCCACCATCATGAACACCTGTGAAGAGACACTTGGATTCCCTACCAGGAGACGTCAAGACTGGTTTGATGAGAGTGATCAACTCTTGGATCTCCCAGTTGACAACAAGTGCAAAGTCTTTTGTGTTTGGTAAAACAACAACTCCAGGCAAAATAAATTGAATCTCCAAGAAGCCAAGGCAGAGGTCCAAAGGAGGACCCATGATATGAAGAACAAATGGTTGGAAGACAAAGGCTAAAGAAATTCAATATCTCACTGACATCCACAATATGTATGGCTTCTTCAGTGCCACCAAAGCCATCTATGGTCCGAGCACTCGGGGACCAACCCCCTTGAGACCTAAGGATGGAGGAGACCTGATCAAGGAAAGGGGAGCTATCAATGCCCATTGGATGGAGCATTTTGAAGACCTTCTCAATCAAGAAGATGATGTTGGAATCCCTCCAACCCTTGACGAGGTAAGGAAAGCCATCAAGCAGATGAAGAATGACAAGGCATCTGGAGTGGATGGAATCCTCATGGCAACCTTCAAGCAGAGAGTGTGGAGCTCACCATACAGCTTCTTGCCTTCATCTAAACCAGGAGTGGGCAAAATATAACCACCTGCAGACTGGCACCCACCAATTAATTGTATCCGGCCCCACCAGCAACCGTCCCTGCTGCACTCTGCATGGGGTTGAATCCTGCCCACTCCCACCTTGAGCAGCATGTACTGCTCTCCCAGCCTCCCCTGCAGGAGGGCACCAGTCCTGGCCAGCAGGTACAGCTTCCAGGCAGGGCTGCTGCTGCTACAGCTGCAGCAGGGAACTGCTGGGCTGCCCTGCCCGCCAGTGATGACTCCTGTCCCAGTTGAAGTGCTCCAGGCAGCAGGCAGGGAGGGGAAGCTGCAGCACTGAGGTGAGTGGGGCTCTGCCTGCAGCTCACTTTGGTCCTATTTGTGAATGGCTGGGTGGAGAATGTGTGGATGGAAGGGGGGCATGAAGGAGTTTAGCTGCTCATGAAGCCCCACCAGGCAGGCATGGGATAGGTAGGTGAGGTGGGAGCAGTAGCAGCCAGCATGGGCTTGGTTCAGCCCCACTGGGCAAGCACAGGACAGGCAGGTGGGGTGGGAGCAGCAGCAGGAGCCAGCGGAGGGTTGGCTGCAGCCCCACCAGGCAGGTGTGGGACACAGACCAAGAGAGCTGACAGTGCCAGGATTGGCTCCCTCCCCCCACCCCAGGGACTTCCCTTGCTGCCTGCTGGTGGCAGCTGCTTTTCTGCCTTTGCAGCATGCTGCAAACCCAGTCAAGCAGCACTGAGCCCCTTCCTCCTCCCCCTGCCTGTAGAGGGTCTGGGATCAGCCAAGTCACAAAGAGTGGAGGGGGGGAGAAGCCCCTCACATACGCACACCCAACCCCCAGTTGTACTCTACACATGTGCCCACACCCCCTCACACACCCCACCGTGCCCACACACAACCAACACTCCCACACCCCAACCAAACACCCCATCATACCCACACAGACTTATCCCCAGGCATCCCACACATCCACCTCCACTGTACCCACACCTCACACCTCCCCACCATACCCACACACATTGTCCAAACCTCAACCACACATACACCATACCCCCACACACATTCAAAACTGTTCCCCACACTCCACTCCCCAGCCACAAATCCCACCTTCCCGCACCCCCCACATTCACTTCAACCCCACCATACCCACCCCTCCACCCTCTACCATACCCACCCACACACACATCCAACACTGTCCCACACCCTATCTCATCACCATACCCACACACACCCCCAACAGTCCCACATACCCTGCACATGCACATGTGTGCACACACCCCCAAACCCCCCCCCCTCCACACCATCACACAATATACAAATAACCTGCCTCCAGAAGGAGTACTTCCTGGGCAAGGGGAGAGACTTCTGGTGGCAAAAGTCAGAGGTTAGGGGGTGGGACTTCCAGTCACAAGATAGTGACCAGAGAATGGGACACCTATCAAGGGGTGGCGGTACCCTTGCAGTCTTCAATGCCTCACCAAAACTCTTAAGTGACCCTCCAGCCAAAATAATTACCCAGCCCTGATCTAAAGGACCTGGAATGATGAGGAAATCCCAGACAACCTCAGGGGCACCATGATTGTGACAATTTTTAAGAAAGGAGACAAGTCTGACTGTGGAAACTACAGAGGGATTGCCTCACTGTCCATCACAGGAAATATCATTGTGAGAACCCTTCTGAACCATCTCCTTCCCCCTGCTGAAGAGCTCCTCCCAAAATCTCAGTATGGGTTTAGGGCATCAAGAAGTACAACTGACATGATCTTTGCAGCTCACCAGCCGCAGGAGAAGTTCCAGGGACAAAAGTCTTTTATACATGGCCTTCTTTGAGCCCACAAAAGCTTTAGGCTCTGTCAGCCAAGAAGTGTTGCGGAAGATCCTTCTGAAGTACAGATACCCACTGAAATTTGTCATCATTCTCTGCCTACTTAATGATGGTATGTGAGTGGTAGTTCTCAGTAACAGATCTATCAGAAATCCCCTTTAAATTAAAATGGAAATTAGGCAAGGCTGCATCATTGCTCCAACACTCCTCGCAATATTCCTTGCCATGATGCTACATCTGACCACCAACAAATTTCCAGCCAGAGTGGAGCTCTGGAGAATGCTGAGTTTTTTTTTTTTCCCTGTGCCTCAGAAGCCATCTCTCACAGAAGGCTGACATCAACAAAGAAATCTGACAAAGCCTCAAATGTGCAAGTGCAGCTTTTGGATGCCTGAAGAAATAGGTGTTCAAAGATCACAACAACAGATCCAAAACTAAGCTCATGGTTTTTCAAACAGTAATGATCCCCGCCTTGCTGTATGGAGCTGAGACATGAACAACATACAGGAGACATCTAAAGTTGTTGGAGAGGTACCATCAATGCAGCTTGTGGAAGATCCTCCAAATCCAGTGAGAAGACAGATGCACCAATGTTGGCATTGTCCTGCAAGCAAACACCATGAGTATTGTGGTGGTGATTATCTGCCATCAGCTTCATTCGGCCAGCCATGTCATCCAGATGTCTGACTCCAGACTCCTGAAGCAAGTTTTATTCTCCCAGCTAAGCCAAGGTGTATGTTCAAAAGGAGGGCAGAGAGAGTGCTTCAGGGACATCTTCAAGGCCAACTTAAAAAAATGCAACATCAATGGATCATGGGAGACTATCACCCAGGACTCCCCCAAATGGAGGAAGACTGTATTGCAGGGATCTCAGTACTTTATGACAACAATAGAAGTTGAAAAAGGAGGAACAGCAGAAACAGCATGTCCCAGTCCAAATGAAGAATCCAGCACCACCCACCCCACGTGAAAATATATGTTGGAGCTTCAGTAGAGTTTGTCAATCCCAGATGGGCCTCATCAGCCATGTTTGGACATAGAGATAAGACCATCATAGAAGAGAATCATCCTCGATTGTGAGAGATTGCTGAAGAAGCTCCAGCTGCCTTGGGTGCCCCAGCCTGAATGACCACCTTGGTTGAAGGATGACCTTTGGCACAGGTCTAGAGCAGGGTGTAAATTCATGCTTTGGTGAAAGAAGGCTATTAGACTTTGAAGGGGGGGGACCTGGTGCATCTTTTTCATTGCCCAGACTGTCTGAAATGATGACATGTAAATTCTAGCATATGTAGATGTTTGGTATTAGGAGTAGAGAGAACATATGGCTGGCAATCAGGACTGCTATTTTCTCAGTCACTAACCCTCTATATGTCCTTGAACAAATGAATTAATCACTTTTAATCCCAATTTTGGCCTTTTTAAATATAGGAATAATGTTTTGTCTTGTAAAGAAGACCTTAAGTAAAAGTGCTCTGTGTGTGAAATGTTTGGACTGCATTGATCTGATGCATAGTTGGGATAGTGTGTTAGCATAAAACATGAAATGGGATGAACTTTTCCTGCTAGACACAGTAGTTAAATTAAGACTTTAAAAAATCCTGTAAATAGAGAAAATAAATAGTAATAAAAAAAGATTCTAATGAATTAAAATTTCTTTGAGGTCTTAAATTTGGAGATTTGATCTTAATTTAGCTTTGCTACTGGTATTGGTTTATACTTTAAGGAAAAGAAGAAACAATTTCTGGGAATGCTCTATTGGATTAGACCTTGGATATGTCACTTCAAGAGGGATGTAGATAAGCTAGAAAGGGTTCAGAGGAGGGCCACCCATCTGGTTAAAGGCCTACAGGAGAAATTCTGAGGACTGATTAAGGGACTTGAATCTCTTCAGCTTCCGCAAGAGAAGGCTGAGAGGTGATCTTGTGGTTGTCTACAAATTCAACAGAGGAGACAGCAGGAAATAGGGGATACGATGTTTACCAGAGCATCCACTGAGGTAACTAGAAGCAATGGCCACAAACTGAAGGACAGCAAATTTAAATTGGACATCAGGGAAAAAATTCTTTGCAGTGAGGGTTGCCAAAATATGGAATGTGCTTCCAAGGGAGGTGGTGCTGTCCTCTTCCTTGAAGGTATTTAAGAGGAGATTGGACAAACACCTGGCTGGGGTCATCTGACCCCAGCACCCTTTCCTGCCCAGGGCAGGAGGGTCGGACTCAATGACCTCATAGGTCCCCTCCGACCCTAAAATCCTATGAATCTGTGTCTAGTACAAGTTCTATCTGACAGTGAGCTGTTCCAGATACTTTATACTAAGGTGGAAAATTCGTGTGCACCTGGCTATTTGAGTAGTACTGTATAGTATTGGGGACTACAGGTGTGGCCCCAGCTGTTTGATCTATATATATAGGCCCTGAGGGGAGTGATAGATTAAGTGATTTTTTTATTTTGGTTAGCCTTGGGAAGACTTAGTGTGGCACACCTGAGTGTATACTTTGAATGTATTACCATGATTGTCCACCCATTTGAGTAACTTTTTACTAGTTACATTTTATCATTTCACCTTAGGTTTATGAATGCCTCCATTATTATATCAGAAAGAAACTGGTTCCAGTCATACCCCAGGCCCGGGTACTGTCTCATGAGGTAAGATAACATATGGGTGTGTAGATGTATTGCTCGGTGCAAGGCAGCCTGTGCTGCTGAGCCCCCATGGCCTGGGGACATAACAGGCTGTGCAGGGCTGTGCAGGACCCCGTAGGAGTGGTGGTGGTGCCGCAGGAGGGCAGAAGAATGCCCCATATGCAGTGTGAGAAGCGGCAACTGCGGCCGCTCAATTAACCAGCATATTTTGTTATCTGGCATCCCCTGTTCCCGGGAACGCACAGTCCCTTTGTTTACCAAACTCAAATCTATTCGCTTGTATGCAAATAAACTGTGCTTATTTGTTGAGCTCCAGGTGAGGATTCAAGTATACATTGCAAATGTTAATGATCTCTTATTTGAAATGTAGGTACTTATCTTTATTTTACAGATAGGGATTTAGAAAAACATAAATGTGGCTTCCTCAGGATCATGTAGTCTGTGGCTATAGTCATACAATTTAACCATTATACCTTCTCTTTTCCCTATGTGGCAGTCTGTCTTGTCATTAAAGTTACCATAAAGGAGTCTGACATAAAATTATTAATTTTGTAAGAGAGGATGACTAACTGTATCAGGATGGTTAATGGCTCATGCTGTAAAGTGGCACTCTGAAGTTAGTGAAACCTAGGCTAAACACCAGACATTCGGGCAGGTCAGGGGGAAGTTCATCGTTTTGTAGTTGTTAGTTCAATTGAGTTAAAAATGGCCACCCAATCTAAGGTAAGTCAGGATAAGGGGAGGAGTTGGGTGGGAGTAGGGTTTGGGCAGATCAGGGGATCAAGCAGGTCTGGGAGCCTGCAGGGGATCCAGGGGGTAAAGTCCATAGGGAGGACCAGGGTTTTTTGTGGGGGGGGTGGGGCTAGCAGTTTAACTTGGATCAGGTCAGCCATTTTTAGACCAATCCAACCTTCCTGGAACTTCTGTACTGTTTGCACTTAGATGGACCTAACTAATAGGGCTGTGAGAATTGGTCAGGTAGGTGGCATCTGGGAAGGTTTGGTGAAATATGGGGGACTCGCAGATTGTGGGTGGGAGCTTGGGAGGAAGAGGGGACTCTCCTCCCTACTCCCAGGACCAGGGGCTATTTTTAGCTGCCTGACCCCAACCCTTTGGCAAATCTGTTTTCCCATTCCTCCCCTCAGTGGGACTTGCTTCCTTAGCTCCTGGCATCTGCAAATGCTGATTAAAACTGGCACTGGGAGCAGTTGGTAGGTGGGTGGTGTGAGGAGGTGGGGGGCTTAAAATGGCCCAGTGCCAAGAGGGAAGGTAGCAAAAGAGTAGACCTGGAGCTGGGGCCAGCAGCTGAGCTTTGTCTAAAAATGGCCAACCCTATCTAAGTTAGATCACCTTGGAGGCAGGTTTAACTTGGATCAGGTCAGCCATTTTTAGACCAATCCAACCTTCCTGGAACTTCTGTACTGTTTGCACTTAGATGGACCTAACTAATAGGGCTGTGTAAATAGGGAAGTATTGGATTTAGCCAGTTTGGAGGACAGTGATTTTATTTGGATATTTGGGTCACTGTCCCGAATCAATTTGGCTGAATCGGTTTCAAGGAGATAGGTGCAGGGGTTTCTGGGAAACTGCAGATCAAGCTGCTGACAAGCAAAACCTGTCACGTGTGCAGTTCATAGGCCTGGCTGTGAAAAGTGGTTTGTAAATTCAAACAATCACTGAACCTCACTAACCTCATCACTAGAAGCCAACTTCCTACAGTTCAAAACACAAAACCTGCCAACGTATCTCCAGTACCCCCACAAACTGTGCCAGAATCTATCGGAGATGAGAATACCCAACTACCTGTGGAGGCACATTTCTCATAAAAAAAAAAAAACAAAAAAAAAAACAAAAAAAACCACCACTCTGTCTCTAGTCCCTCAGGCCTGATCCTCAACAGGAATTTACAAACCACTTTTCACAGCTGGACCTACAAACTTCACTTCATCAACCTCCTAGATATAGAAACTCATGGACTCAATATAGACATTGGATTTATGACACAGTACAATCTACCAGACATCTGTCTGCCCAAGTCCCTCTCTACTGTTTACCTGCGCTGCTACATCCCCCCACTCTGCACCCCAACCTGTCCCTCACCCCCTGACACCTCCATTTCCTTTTTCACTGACTGGCTTTCTTGCCTACATTGCATGCCAGCCTCTGGCTTCTTTACTATTCCTTCCATCCAGGAAGAGTGCACATGCCAACTGCAGGTGCTTCCTCAGCCTGACAAATGGTTTTTCAACCTGAAAGCTGGCATCCCAGGCAGCTAAGCTGAACTCACTGGAGCCTCCCAACCAGCAAGCCTTAGGCCTGTCAAAGATGCGATGGGTCTGGGCTTTCCCCAGCCAGGACTGTGTGCATGCCTGTGGAGCCTGGAGGTTATGGTGCCTCCTACCTGCCTTTCACCAGTGGGATCCTTGGTCCTGGCATTTCCTGGGGCTGTCACACTGCCGGCAGCCCCACCAGGCCACCCAACCATGGCAGAATGCAGTTTTAGTGGTCATGCCCAGGACCTAGGGTCTCCTTCCCCATAGCCCCAGCCCATACCTCCAAGTTTGTCCTGGCATGGAAGCTTAGCAGGGACATGTTCTTCCCCTGCTGGCTGGTGATGCAGGGAGTGCCACCTCCAGCTCAGAAAGCAGGGCATTAAGTGGTTTAAAAATAAAAACAGAAATAGGTGTGGATGGAGTGAGGAGGGTGGCACTCACTCTGTCTGCAGGTGGAGCTTGGGGAGGTTCACCTTCAGGAACACCAGCTACTCCACTAAACCATGATCCAAGGAGGTGCGGTGGGGTGTCACAACATTCCCAGCAATGCTGAACACCCTCTCTTGGTCCACTGGTCAGTGGACAGGACAGGTGTTCCCGGGCAACCATGGACAGACCCTGCCACATCTGGCTGCAAGTTGCCCAATAGGCTGAGGGGTCACAGTCCAGCAGCTCCACATCCTCAGCAAGATAGGTAGCCACCGAAGCCTTGGCGCTACCTGCCTGAGGCTGGGGTCTGGTGCATCTGGACCCTAACATTGAAGCCATGCCCTTGGCTCACATTGGCAGCAGGTGGCATGCTGGCTGGTGCTGGGAGTGCTGGCATGGGAAAGTGGATCCCCCTTTTCCACATCCCCTTGCCTCTGCCCTTCTGCCTCCCTGACTGTATTCACCTGCACCTCTGTCCAGTGATTGAGGGCTTTGGTACTACCAGTACACATGCTCCCCTTCACCCTTGGGTCACACATGGCATGGCAGGCCAGTAGGGGGCCCTCCTGCATTGAGCCACCCGCTTCACTGTGCCCAACCACCCTCCAGGCTCTGAGTGCCTCCCTGGGGTTTACTCACGTCCAGCTGACCCCCTTCCTGGAGCACACCTGCAAACCTAGGAGTAATGCCGCCACCATCCAGGGTCTGGATTGATCTTGGCCCTGTGCCCCCTGGGAAACACAGACCTAGTAGTCCTTGAGGGTACTTGACCCACTGCAAGAACTTGGGGTACTTCCCTCAGTCTGAAGTACAAATTGTGGTCTCCCTTAGTCAAACCAAGGGGACCCCGAGGCATAATCTAGGCCCTCTCCCAGTAAGTCTCCCATGCTAGGTACAAAGGAGAACTTTATTGGTTACAAGGAGTAGGTTTGGAATACAGTACAGGGTAGAGCAATATCAGAGAAATCCCTTAGAGCAAATAGTGTCATGATAGCCTTTGATTACGCATCTGTGTTACTGACAGCTATATATCTAGTTAGAACTCAAGTAGCTTACTCACAAATATCATCCTGAGGCAGGTAGAGATTTCCTCTGGAGGCAAGCAGTTCATTGACCATGAGTTTCAAGACAGAGCGAGTTTCAGATGGTCCAGCTTCTCTGAGACTTCTCATCGTAGCTGCTGTCCTACCTCCTTAACTTACACAGACCTTATGACCTCATTTACCTGATCCAGTGAAGGCCAGCAGCTGTTGGCTGCCAGCCCAGCAATTTGAAATGCAACACTGGTTGTCAGGTAGACTGGCAGGGTCTCTAGCCCTCTCTGTCATGATGACATTACTTAGAATAATAGGGAGTTTAAGCCCCCACCCAGGTGTGTGAAGCCAGTCAAGTAGGCACAGGAAGCAGGTTTCCCTCTCCCTCAGGAATGTTTCCAGCTCAGGTTACAGCTCAGTGTTACCTGAAGCTGATGGAGCCAGGGGTTTCTGCCCTCTGCAGTGACTGTGGTAACCAAATTGTCAGATTCGTCCCCCACACGGAGATGGCATTTTGCCACGCATGTCCCTCAACATGTGGACAATACTGGACTGCAATGGATCCAGTAGTTTCCTGATGCCTTCCTTCAGTCACCTCACCAGTGCCTGCACATCTGGTGACAGCAGGTTGCCCCAGCCAGGAACATTGATCTCATAGAACTTCTCCATTTGGTTCTCAGGTTCTCTCACAACAGGGATCACCTGGCTAACGAGGGCATCGCCAGTGCTGAGGGTCTCAGTGGAGGGCTTGAGGAAGGGCTTGAGGACCACTAAGATCTGGGAGATAGTATCCCACTCAGCTCTGTTAAGGGGGCTGCTGATCCCCATCTCCTTGAGGAAGGCCATCTCATGGATGCCCTTCTGTTGCTCCACCAGCCTCCTGAGCATCAGGTATGTGGAGTTCCACTGAGTCTCCACATCCTGCATGATTTTGTGCTGCAGGATGCTCAGCTCTGCCTGTTCCTCCCACAGCATCTTGCCCCACTTGATGCTGTGGTGGAAGTAGCCTGCCACCTTCCTGCACTTCGAAATCAGCTGGGTGGTAGTAACGGCGCCATCACCAGCAGCCCTGTCCTCCTCTGAGGCATCCCTGACTGAGATGCAGCTTATATGCCACACAGTGGATGCCAACAAAGTTGACATCATGGACCACCTTGACCATATTGGTCCCATTGTCAGTGACCGTGAACCCGCAGGTGAGCTCACCCTGCCTAACAAGCCACCCCTGCACCATATGGTTCAAGGCCACCATGATCTCCCTTGCCAT